ACTGGAAGCCTCAGTCTGTGCTTTGCGTAATCTTTGTATTACATACCAAGGTTGAGATAATCCACACTCTTGAAGTAGTATACTTTCGACGAACTTTAAGTTCGCACTGTCAGGCATATTGTACACAATGACACTGCATACACTGAAATCTTTGCAATACTTCTAATGGTTTATGGTCAACTAATTTTTCAGTGTTTTTCATAATTTCGAAATCGGAATTATTTGAAACACTGACTAGATATTTGTAAGGTAATATGTCGTGAATGGTTTGGATGAGATTAAGTTTTACCTGACTGTTCTTTGAATTGCCACTGCCGAAAGTATTGGAGTTCATCTTAAAGTTGTTACGATCGGCATATTTGCATAAAGGCTTGTCGCAGGTGTCTGTTTAGTGGTGTAGCGGTAAATAAATCCCCAAAATAAATAGCACTAAGTTTTCGACATTGGATGCTGACCATATGTTTTAGTGGACTCATCTAGCTGAAGGCGCTCAGTCAGGCATCCGCACCAGATCACGTGTGGTAACGCCGTGCTCAACATCAACCGCAATCGTTAGCCAGATTAGATCAGAGAATTCCGATATATTGGTCATCGCCAAATATACTCTTCCGATCTCCTCGACTCTGTCTTTTGATTTCTCTTGGTGGGAACAAAATATATTAGAAGGTGTTACTGGTAGAAGCGTTGTCAAACACTGAATACCTACGACATAAATGGTGGTCACCTTGTGCATACTTGAATAATTGGAAAAAGCCAACTCGATATCGTAGAGACATCTGTCAATTTCGAATTCGATGAAAAAGTCACAGCTTCGTAGCAATGTCTGGAAGTTTATTTTAACAGTACCAAAAAGAATGGAATAGTTAAGAATATGTAAGGAAACTTGGATGCATGGGATTCTAAGAGGTAACGACATTATATTTTCAGATGTTTACATAAGTATATATATGTATATATATATATATATATATATATATATATATCACACAATAATTGCAAACAGGCCTGAAGTAGTTCTACGATAAATGCCGGTCACTAGACCTGGTGAAGTAGAATGGTTGTGCATGGGGTCAACAACTCTATCTCATAGAAAACAATCTTGCCAAAAACGCTAACCAGTATAAACAATTTAAACCATTTACACTCGGCCCTCCAAGTTGAAGGAATAATTCTGACACCTCTTGTTGAAAGCCGAGATCCTTCGGAGATCACGAGGCCGACGCCTTTTCTTACAACCAGAACAACGATTAACGTAGGCAAATGGAATGTCTGGGTAATATGGGAGACAGAAAGAACCAATCAAATGGCTGTGGGAATGAGGAGATACAACTGAGCGGTGTTCGGAATCAGTGAAACCCATTACACCCAAGCTGGACAGCAAACGTTAGGTACGCGAGAGATGCTGTTGTACTCTGGTCACAAAGAAAAACATGTTTCGTACACACTAGCAGTTGCACTGATGCTGTCCAATGAAGCACGAAGAGCACTCATAAAATGAGAATCTCATGAATCCAGGATCATCAAAGCATCATTCAAAACAAAGGAGGGAATTACGACGAATATTACTCAACATTATGCCCACGCCAATTATAGTAATGACAATGATAAAGATCGGTTCTACAGAAGGCTGCAATCGATCGCGAAGAAACACACAGCAAAGAACCTGAACATTCTGATGAGAGACTTAAATGTTAAAGTCAGAATGGACGACACCAGGTATGAAGATATCATGAGACGACATGGACTAAATAGGAGAAACGGACAAGAATGGTGAGAAACTTGCAAATCTATGTGCATTCACCAAATTGGTTATATGTAGTACAACATTCCCACACAGACACATGCACAAAGCTACATGGATCTCACTCGACCACACTACAGAGAACTAGATCGGGGTGACTAAAACACTTCAGAAAGACAATGAAAGACGTGAGAACCAGGAGAGAAGTTAACATAGCTTCAGATCACCACCTGGCTGTGGTTAAGATGGAACTGAAGCTAAAGAAGCACCGGACAACTGGATAAGCAGCATTAAAAAGGCTTCATACAGCCTTCCTTCGAGATACAAGCTCGACGAATTCAAGATAACTCTCAGCAATAATTTTCGAGCCTTGGAAGAATTACTCGAAGAATGCGAAACTACTATGGAAGACAATAGGAGAGGGATCAAAGAAGCATTGACTTTAACGTGTCAGGGGGTTCTGGGCCACAACAAGCACCATCATAAGGAATAGGTCTCTATTGAAACCTGAGCATCAGGAAAGGTTTTTAACAGTGCGTTGCTGAACCACATGAAAGATTTCGGTAGACGTTCAACTTCGAGATCAACAAGCTGGATTCCGTAGGGATCGGTCGTACACAGACCAAATCACTACCACAACCATCATCAAAAGGGTAGAAGTATTTATAAACAATTGTTTACGTAAGATACTGAATGTTCGTCGGCCGGATAACATCAGCAACAGCCCACTATGGGAGAGAACAAACCAGCTTCCAGCTGAGGAGGAAATTAGAAAAAGGCGTTTGAAGTGGATAGGGTATACATTGGAGAAATCATCAAACTGCACCGTGAAGCAAGTGCTAACTTGGAATTCTGAAGGTAAAGGGAAAGGAAGAAGGTCATGAGCACACTACGTCAAAAATCAGAAGCAGACATGAAAAGAATAAATAGCAACTGGAAAGGATTGCCCAGGACAAGGTTGTATGGAGAGTGCTGGTAGGCGGCTTATGCTCCTCCATGAGGGGTGACAGGGGCAAGTAATATGACAACGTCTTCAATAAATTTCGTCGGCCTTTGGTTTTTATGTGTTCGAATAACTATGATGCTCATCGCATAACGATTTTTTGGCGTAACATGAATAACAACAGGAAAGTTCTTGTGTAAGCTACCAGTAATCGAAGGTCGTTAGACCTTTATGAACTTTCAAAACTCTCGACGTTCGATTCGACTTGACAATGAACTAACGAACTTCAAATGGTCCGTCTCACTCGATGGCTAGGAGCGGTTACCTTCAAGGATATTACCGTCGAAATAGAGGCCGGCGCCTTCGTCGAACGACAGGTAGAAAACTCTGGCAGTCCTCCAAGTACCACTTCAGACCGTGTACGCTAGTTTGAATCTGAAATTTTCACTGTTATACAATGCTTTTAAGATTGAAACAATTAGAATTGACTGCATATAATCTGCAAGCTTGTGAGCTGGTAGTAGTAGAAATGCTTCAACTTCAGCTGCAAGCTTTCTACAATGAACTTGCGTCACTCTACTCGCGTTGCTTGAAATTAGCAATGCAATGAATGTCGACCTAAAACTCTACACGAACAGGCTCGCAAATGCGTTGGGTTCAGTAAATTCTATTTCCATTTCACTACAGTCAAATGATGTTCCCATCAACCCTCCTTACTGTTTACTATTCACGTTTTAATACGTCATAATTCATTAGTGCTGCAAACGAAGAACAATTTTAACTGATACACAATGAGAAGTCATTAAGAGGTGATATACCCGCAAAAGGTCAAGACAGATTGAAGTGAAGAGGTAACAGGTACTTGAAGTTCCAAAACGCCTCTACCCGTGAGGCCTTTATGATCGAAACGTACCAACTAGGCCAAACTAGAAGTAATAAATGAATGAGTCCGAAGATTTATCCGGAAAGCCATTGATGCATCATGGAGCGTTTGGTCTAAGCTGGTTGCTAGTTGAAAGGGATTCGTAGCACGGCGTACCCAACCGCGATCTGATGTGAGTACATGACTAGGCACCTTTAAGTAGGGTGCGTCCAGTAAGACTAATGAGATCAACACCAATTTCTAAGACTTACCAAACAATTTATTTTGGGGACTTGTATATCGCAATAGATGCATGATTCATAGAAATAAACTGGACCTCGTCCTTCTAAACTTAATCCATGTTTGAAATATGTAGTGGACAGTCGTCATAAGACATTGATCCAACGATTAACTGCAACAGTACTATATACCTTTTTGCATTTTCTTGCAAACAGTAGTCGAGATTTGGTATTCAGTGATATAACAAACAGGATAGTGAAGCTGATCATTTGGATCTTCAAGCTGACTTAGACGATTTAGTTAGATGGGCTCGATGTTGGGGCATAGAAATCAATTCTAGGAATAGTGTGCTAATGCACATCGGTCACGGTAATAGTTAACGCTATACTATTGATGGTAAACCTCTTCCATGCGTTCAAGAAACATAAAGACTTAGGAGTAATAATAAGTCATGACTTAAAAACAACTACGCATTGCAACACAGCCGCTGTCAAAGGTTTTCGTGCGTTATGGTCACTTCGCCGAGCGTTCAAATCTTTTGACGAGGATATGCTTCGAATTTTATATCCCACACATATAAAACCAAGTTTTGAGTACTGTATCAAAACAGCTAACCCATGTCTGGCAAAGAATACTAACTCGCTTGAGCGTGTCCAGCGTGTGAGAACGAAATTAGTCAAAGGTCTTCCTAAACTCCCTTACGATGAGCGTTTAAAACGCCTAAACATTTCCCCTTGTCGTATCCTAAGACGCAATGTGACCTTATACTGGCATTTCGTATCTTTAATTATGATTTGGATGTTAATATGTATTATCTTTTTGCTCCCCCAGCACTAATAATCTCCGAGAAGTTTCACAATCTACGATCTAATAAACTTAGAGTGGGATCCCATTTTTCTCATTGAGTAGTCAATGACTAAAACGCCTTACCCGAACAAGTGGTATCAGCCTCATCAGTCAATATCTTCAAGGAAAAGCTGGACCTTCACTGGAGGGCAACCTGTCAGATTAACACAGGTTCACCAATCTACTATCCTTATCACTGAAAACCGAAGACTGTGCAAACACACCCGTTTGTCCCATGATATCAGCCTAATAAATGAATAGATGTCAGAAAAATAAGTCGTTAACAGGAATATCTATTGCAAGAATTTCAACATATCAAGAGAATTAGTATCTTAATGAATGTAGACCAATTGAATCTTTGAAAAATTAAGTGAACGATTTGTCGTCGAAGCTACAGTAACTTAATGGACAACGGTGATATCAATCTTGAAGAAGGGGAGCTTGATGTAGATCTCAGCGATGAGGAGGGATGGAAGTTGAAAAATGAAAAGTGAGCACCAATATCGTTAACCTAAAGTTTCTTCAGTGATTTAAGAAAGGAAGAAAAGCTAGATAAAGAAGCTGAAGTAAAAAAGCACAAGAAGAAAGAAAAAAAAGCTAAGAAGGAAAAGAAGCATAAGAAGAAAAAGAAAAAACATAGGCATGACAACAAGGAAAAATGGTACTCTTCGTTAATTTTACTTACCTTTAGTTCTCTTAATAATGGTGATGTTCAACCACCTGTGAATGAAGCAAAGGTAGATCTTGGAAGCCCCAAAAAAGAAATTGATGACGTCCCATATGTCCCAAAACGCGTTCCTATCTCTCTGGAGGAGCTGATTTTAAAAAGGAAGGCGGAAGAGGCAGAATTAATCAAACCGAAATTTATATCTAAGGAGGAGCGTATTCAACAAGCCATCCAAAGAAGACAAGCTGAAGTTCAAGCTCAACGTGAAAAACAGATGGAGGCCTTCAAAAAACAGACGGAATATCTTGAAGGGCTAAAGGTTACACGCTTGTCTATTGTTATCCTTTTAGATCTGGAACGAAAGAGACGCGCAGAAGATTTTCAAGAAAGAATGAGGCAGCACAGAAACTTTAGAAATACTGGCAAACGAGCAGCTCAAGAAGAAGGTCCAGGTGATAAGGTAAACATTTCGCAAGAAGAACAAGCTATCAAAGAGCGCTACCTGGGTCAAAAGCGTCTGACTAAGCGTCGACCGAGGCGACTTAATGAGAGGAAATTTGTATTTGACTGGGATGTCGCCGATGATACTAGCCAGGATTACAACCCGCTTTACAAAGAAAAGCATCAAATCCAGTTTTTTGGCCGTGGACATATTGGTGGTATTGATATTAAGGTAATGAAGTGTTTACATTCCTCACAATTATCAGCAACAAAAAAAAGAAATTGGACGTTTTTACTCAAAGCTGTTAGAAAGCCGCCGTTCTGACACCCAGAAAGTTCAAGAAAAGTAACTGATCATTTGGTTTTTCTTATGGTTTAGGAAACGTCTAAGTGGTGTGGCAAAGCGTGAAGCTAAGCAGAAATGGGATGACAGGCATTGGACAGAAAAGGCCCTTGATCAGATGACTGAACGCGACTGGCGAATCTTCCGCGAAGATTTTAATATATCTACCAAGGGAGGTAACATTCCAAACCCCCTCAGGTCTTGGGCGGAAATGAATGTTGCTGATGAACTTAAGGATGTAATTAAAAAGGTATAGATGTTAGCTCAGTTTCATATTCTCTTCAGGTTGGTTATCCTGAACCAACACCAATTCAACGCCAAGCAATACCAATAGGTCTGCAAAACCGTGATATTATTGGTGTTGCAGAAACAGGTTCAGGGAAAACAGCAGCTTTCCTCATACCCCTGTTGAATTGGATTCAGCGACTTCCAAAACTGGAGAGACTTGAGGTAATTTAAGCTCCTTTTTAATCAGTTATTAAAAGGACACAGAGCAAGGACCATATGCTATTATTATGGCTCCTACTAGAGAGTTGGCACAGCAAATTGAGGAAGAAACAGTGAAATTCGGTCGACCACTGGGAATCAAAACTGTTTCGTTAATTGGTGGCCTCTCGCGTGAAGATCAAGCATTAAAGCTCCGAATGGGCGCCGAAATAGTTATTGGTACTCCTGGTCGTTTAAATGATGTCCTAGAAAACCGGTATATGGTACTCAACCAATGTACTTACATCGTTTTGGATGAAGTAAGTACTGATATTTTGGAACATTCAAAGTCGGACAGTTTTTAGCTTTTTTGTTATTGAATGATTGTCTAGTAGATGTAAAGCTAACTTACGCCTGTCAAGCCTTATGGAGGAGCATAAGCCGCCTACCAGCACTCTCCATACAACCTTGTCCTGGGCAATCCTTTCCAGTTGCTATTTATTCTTTTCATGTCTGCTTCTGATTTTTGACGTAGTGTGCTCATCGACCTTCTTCCTTTCCCTTTACCTTCAGAATTCCAAGTTAGCACTTGCTTCACGGTGCAGTTTGATGATTTCTCCAATGTATACCCTATCCACTTCAAACGCCTTTTTCTAATTTCCTCCTCAGCTGGAAGCTGGTTTGTTCTCTCCCATAGTGGGCTGTTGCTGATGTTATCCGGCCGACGAACATTCAGTATCTTACGTAAACAATTGTTTATAAATACTTCTACCCTTTTGATGATGGTTGTGGTAGTGATTTGGTCTGTGTACGACCGATCCCTACGGAATCCAGCTTGTTGATCTCGAAGTTGAACGTCTACCGAAATCTTTCATGTGGTTCAGCAACGCACTGTTAAAAACCTTTCCTGATGCTCAGGGTTTCAATAGAGACCTATTCCTTATGATGGTGCTTGTTGTGGCCCAGAACCCCCTGACACGTTAAAGTCAATGCTTCTTTGATCCCTCTCCTATTGTCTTCCATAGTAGTTTCGCATTCTTCGAGTAATTCTTCCAAGGCTCGAAAATTATTGCTGAGAGTTATCTTGAATTCGTCGAGCTTGTATCTCGAAGGAAGGCTGTATGAAGCCTTTTTAATGCTGCTTATCCAGTTGTCCGGTGCTTCTTTAGCTTCAGTTCCATCTTAACCACAGCCAGGTGGTGATCTGAAGCTATGTTAACTTCTCTCCTGGTTCTCACGTCTTTCATTGTCTTTCTGAAGTGTTTTAGTCACCCCGATCTAGTTCTCTGTAGTGTGGTCGAGTGAGATCCATGTAGCTTTGTGCATGTGTCTGTGTGGGAATGTTGTACTACATATAACCAATTTGGTGAATGCACATAGATTTGCAAGTTTCTCACCATTCTTGTCCGTTTCTCCTATTTAGTCCATGTCGTCTCATGATATCTTCATACCTGGTGTCGTCCATTCTGACTTTAACATTTAAGTCTCTCATCAGAATGTTCAGGTTCTTTGCTGTGTGTTTCTTCGCGATCGATTGCAGCCTTCTGTAGAACCGATCTTTATCATTGTCATTACTATAATTGGCGTGGGCATAATGTTGAGTAATATTCGTCGTAATTCCCTCCTTTGTTTTGAATGATGCTTTGATGATCCTGGATTCATGAGATTCTCATTTTATGAGTGCTCTTCGTGCTTCATTGGACAGCATCAGTGCAACTGCTAGTGTGTACGAAACATGTTTTTCTTTGTGACCAGAGTACAACAGCATCTCTCGCGTACCTAACGTTTGCTGTCCAGCTTGGGTGTAATGGGTTTCACTGATTCCGAACACCGCTCAGTTGTATCTCCTCATTCCCACAGCCATTTGATTGGTTCTTTCTGTCTCCCATATTACCCAGACATTCCATTTGCCTACGTTAATCGTTGTTCTGGTTGTAAGAAAAGGCGTCGGCCTCGTGATCTCCGAAGGATCTCGGCTTTCAACAAGAGGTGTCAGAATTATTCCTTCAACTTGGAGGGCCGAGTGTAAATGGTTTAAATTGTTTATACTGGTTAGCGTTTTTGGCAAGATTGTTTTCTATGAGATAGAGTTGTTGACCCCATGCACAACCATTCTCCTTTACCAGGTCTGGTGACCGGTAGTCACCCTAGAGGACCTGCAGTTCTAGTTAGAAATAAAGTGGTATTTTGTGATGATAAATTGCATGTTTAATTTGTAATCCTTCATCGGTTTCATTACCTCAGATTTGTTTTTCGTTTACAGAGTTGTTAACTTTATGATTGTTAGCATTTGAGCAAGTTGGATGGTATTATTTGGAAACCTATTTGTAATCCGTTAAGTCGTTTTCAACACAATTGTGTATAAGATTGAAAAACAGTAATAATAAATTAAACGCACAGGTACTAGCTACACAGTTTTCAGGTTTCATCTAACAGAAACCCCTCGCTTATGTTTTAACGATTTCAGAACAATGAGGTTGATTTCGATAAATTATATGGAAGAAACCCGGTACTTTCATCTAAACTATCGGAGTCAATTCATTGTTCTTAATTGTTGGTGTTAGATTAAATTATTTATGTAAATCGACATACCATGATATGTGCCTTCGCCATCTGATTGTAAATGTTTATGAATTTTAATTATTTCTGACGTTTTAAATTAACAGGCTGATAAAATGATTGATATGGGTTTCGAACCTGAAGTCAACAATATTCTCACATATTTACCAGTTACAAATGAAAAACCTGATAATGAAGATGCTGAGGATGATTCGAAGCTATTAAGCAATTTTGCAACAAAGCATAAGTATCGTCAGACTGTCATGTTCACAGCCACCATGCCTCCAGCAGTTGAACGTCTTGCTCGTTCCTATTTAAGGCGACCTGCAATGGTGTATATTGGAAGTGCTGGTAAACCCACAGAACGAGTGGAACAGATTGTTTATATGGTTTCAGAACAAGAGAAGAGGTAGTTTTTTCATACTGATAATAATCAAATGTTTATAGCTAAGTCGATTTCTTTTTGGTTATAAATTTAAATATTCCAAGACTAACAAATGTGACACCACTTTTACTTACATGCTCCAGATTATCATTGTTTATTTTCTACATTGGTTTTCAGTAGTGTCGCGAATCATTAGTACAATTGATAAATTGCAGCTGGCACCTATAAAACCGTATTTATTGAAAATTTAATCTTGGTATGTTGTACTCACTCTGATTTATAAGAATACGATAATTCTTGTGGAGAACTGACTGCTAGGCCAAAGACAGACTCAATCTATTTTTATTGAATGCAATAAAACTAGTTACTTTATCAATAACAAGTATATTAATCTTCACGACTTCATTGTCTCTATATCTGTGATGAGTGCTGAAGACGGGAACTTTCATTTTAACATCTGTTGTCCTGTTAACATAATTTGTTAATGAGCTCCATACCTGTATTTCGATTTACTGAAAGAAAAGTGCAGTGTCCTAATCGATTAATAGTACAGATATACTTTCTGTCTCCATTAAAATACTAAATGTTGCTTCAGAATTGTTCTGCGTGAACTTATGGTAGGGAGTGGAGTTGTTGAGCGTATCGACCACTTCGTAAAGATTTTATCACCTCTTGTGGGTTTGTATCTGAAGAAACAATATTTAGACAAATTATACCAATATATGAAGTTGTGAAAAGTATCACATAATATGGACTTATGTTTTGATGTTTATGAACTGAGAGAAATAGCTTCTGAACAATTCTTATTAACGGATTCCCAATGTCTTTATGCGTTTCCTTAGATCTATTTTTCTCATTCAAAAGTGAGTTATTACAAATTGTTTTTAAAAACTAAGTATCTTAAACTACAAGTTCTTGTAGGCCTAAAACTTGGATTATTTAGTTTGTTGCTAAATCTAGAGCTTTATCCACGAACGCTTTAACATCAAAATGACTTAAATTTCATTTTTGCAGGAGAAAACTATTAGAAATACTTGCTGCAGGACTTGATCCACCTGTAATCATTTTTGTCAATCAGAAAAAAGGCGCAGATGTACTTGCTAAAGGACTAGAAAAACTTGGATACAGTGCTGTTGTTCTACATGGTGGCAAAGGACAGGAACAAAGAGAATATGCCTTGGCAAGTTTAAAGTCTGGTCAAAAGGAGATCTTAGTTGCAACTGATGTTGCCGGTCGTGGTATTGATATCAAAGATGTGTCAATGGTTATAAACTATGACATGTCTAAAACTATTGATGGTAAGCTAATAATTCTTTCGCTATTTACTTAGATTATTTATTTGTTTAAACATAGACATTCGTACAAGGAAACATCAAATATACATGTGGCACACAAGTCATCTGGTTTATGTGAGGGCTGGTTTTCTCAAGGGGCTATCCTTAGAGCCTTTGACCTAAAGGTCTAATGTACAAGGCAGTGGAGCGACGTAAGGAAATGCAGTCTCATGGTAGTCGTTGAACAACAATAGGTTCATACGCTTTTTGTTTCATCAGGATCCTGGAGCGCACATGCACCATTGGTTTGAAATCAGGGCTTTCGAACCCCCCTATATGGGTCCCCCGTATCAACCATCCTGATTAAAGCACCAGAGGTCCGCTTTTCGTCCTCTAACTTTTGTAGAAATACTCCTTGGCTCGAGAAGGCAGTGAGTAGGACTTCCCTGGCAGCGACCGTATACGCGTGGTCATGTGAGAGCATTTTAAGAGGGAGAGCAGTCTCCCCACTCGTGGTCATACCAGGGCATTTGGGGGCATTTACTTTGTTACATTCTGCACTCGATATAATAGGTGTATTTAAATTAATTAGTTGTCTTAACTTTCAATTGTAAAGTCATATAACTCTTCAAAGTCTGAGATGCATTTTATCGTTGACAGATCACTCTTTTGGTGTCAAGACATTGTATAAAAACTCTTCTGCGTACTGTATCAAAGGGTGTTATGGTACAAACTTAAGCTAAACATTCTTTGCAGATATCACATCTTCAGTGATTTTGAATGGTGGGCTTTAATCTCAACACGACTGTCATTCAGGGATCCTTATAATCTGAGTGAATTAACTTTGATATTTATGATGACACCATAGCTTTGTCTTCTTAGAAAACCTTTGTGTTACATGTCTCAATGACCTGGTCAGTTTCGTCTCTCTTCTTTCTTGAATTATTGTTGACAGTATGTATGACCTCAAATTTACCTTCTCTGTAGCTAAATGAAGGGACTGTCCAATACACTTATGTGACTTTTGGACACATATTTCTCGCTCATTCATGTAAATATATCTAAGTCCCTAATTGAAATGTTTGTGCGATTATCTACATGAACTCAGCATAACTTTATTTAATGATTAGTAAGTTTTACATTGCGTGTTTCTCTGCTTAGAATATGTACATCGTATTGGGCGTACTGGACGTGCTGGTAAATCTGGTATTGCAATCTCACTACTTACGAAAGAAGATGCCCCTGTATTTTATGATTTAAAACAATTATTAATTCAATCTCCTGTGTCAACGTGTCCTCACGAACTTGCCAATCATCCGGATGCTCAAACAAAGCCAGGTATACTAGCTGCGAAAAAACGACGCGCAGAAGAGACAGTTTACATTACATAAAGAAATAGACTTGATTTTCATTGTCTGCAATTTTTATGCTGGTTTGTAAATACAGAGTATATTCCAACAAGTATTCATTCCATCCTATCGTTTTTGTACGTTAGTCCCACTTTTTCAGTGTGTTTGTACATAAAAGCATAAATTTTTGATAAAAAGCTGACACTTGCTGTTTTTTGTCAACTAGTGGTGGGTCCCGTCATATTTTCTCGCTTCAGAAAGGCATATTTGATGTTAACGCTTAATATAGTTTTCAGCACGTGCTAATAATAGTCAAAATATCAACTCATCAGTTGTTTAACGTCAGTGGTATTACATACCCATAAAAGGGAAATAGATAGTCGAACGCTATACATTGAATCATTATCCACAACCTAACTGCAAAAGATTAGCTAGTGATTCTGTTCGTGTCCAGCATTTCGGCGGTGTCTTTTTTGAATAAAGAATAACTGTTTGTCTTACAAAGTTGCCTTTCTGTTCACTTTTCAATCGTCAGCACAGTTCCTTGAAAAAAAGACAATATTTTTTGGAAGCTTGTAACTAGTTTCATATAAACTGTTCTTAAACCCTGTGATAGAAAAACTAACCATTCTAATATACTTGAAGAATATAATCATTACAGTCTGAACGTGCAGGTCGTCGGCGTATTTGTATATCTACTGATCATTTATTCTATCGTAACATTTCAGTCATAGGGTTGTCGTTTTCCGAGATGTCTCGTCAGATGTGTTTCGGAGCATTTAACATCTGTAGTAGGTGAAAAATTCTACATAAGCACTTATTAGAATCATGGTTGTTGAATTTAACTACAAAATCGCAAAGTATGAAAACCTGATAATTGCTTTTCCCAAAAAAATAAGGCAAAATGTATCGACGCTTATTTACAGTTCCGACTAATTAGCTAATCGCAACTTATTAAATCTTTGTAAAAGACAATAGCGACACATTAAGGGAAATGTTAAGATTTTAAGTGCAACAATGAGCATGAATATAGAATTACTTAACACCCTCTATTAAGCGCGTAATGCTTGACATTTAAAAATGAGGCAGTATTTGATAGAAAAATCTGGAAAATTATATCAACTTTGGTGTTTATAGATGTGAAGTGTTTGTGTCTGACATATGGAGAATTGCGTTAACGTCACTAATTGATTTCTGAATCATCATTTACATTCGAGTCAACTAATTATTTTATTTATTTATTTGAACAAATGAATATTGGTACAAGAGAGCGCCAATATATATGCGCCACACAAAACAATAAGAATTCGAAGAGAAATAGAAAAAAAAGCTAAGGAGCGCAAAAAAAGGAGAACAATTACGAAGAGATTAGTGTAAGGTAGTGTGGTAGTAATGAGGGAACGGAAAGGTACAATCAGAAGAAATCTTTCAGGTAAGGGAGACACAACCACTTTTTATGAAGAAAGTAAAAGAAGGTTACAGCAGGATCGCCACTGGCTTCTATTCTGAGCCATATCTGATAACGTCTCTAGCCACTGTGTAGCACCATCTCTCAGACCCCAACCAGGGAGTCGTGAAGGACCAACACAAGCCAGTCCTTTGCAGCTTTCTTTCATACCACGACACCATGTCATGCACTGACCACCTCTCCGCTTTTTCCAACCAGTCCCAGAGTCGGCAAATAATGCACGACGTGGAATTCTCTGGGACGACATTCGGAGAACATGTCCAAGCCACCGAAGTCGGTGTTTCAAGATGGTGACACCAATTGAATTATCATCTCTGTGCCCGAACACACGATGCCGAACCTCTGCATTACTGACATGGTGTTGCCACTGAATGTCAGCAATCCTTCGGAGACAGCGATGATCGAACACAGAGAGTCGTCTAACGTCCTCAACTCGGAGAGGCCAGGTTTCACAAGCATAGAGCAAAACTGCTCTCACCGACGCGTTGTAGATCCGACCTTTTACAGCCAGACTAACATCACGAAGGCGCCAAAGGTGGCCCAGATTGGCATAAGCCGCTCTGGCTTTCACTATATGTGCATTGATCTCATCACTCACACCACCACCAGCACTTATGCAGCTACCCAGATACACGAACTTCTCGACTACGTCTATCTGCTCACCATCCAGGGTGAGTACAGGATTAGAATCCTGCCAGTCTTGTAGAAGTACTTTGCACTTCGAAGGTGCAAAGCACATACCATACCTACGGACACTGATTGCCAACTGATTAAGTGCGGATTGCATGCCTTGGGCATTATCGCACAGTAAGACAATATCGTCCGCATACTCAAGGTCGAGAAGTCTTTCTCCAGGCAACAGATCCACACCACCATTACTTACATTCATCAGAGCTGTTTCCAGAATGTCATCGATGGCAAAGTTGAAGAGGAATGGTGAGATTGGGCAACCCTGCCTAACCCCACTGCTCGAATGGAACAATGGAGAGAGGTGGTTGTATGCCCTCACTCTGCCTGAGGTGTTTTTATATAGGGCTTTAGGATGTTAATAAACTTCTCAGGCACACCCTTCTTCAATAGACAATCCCAGAGAACAGTCCTGTCCAACGAATCGAAGGCAGCCCTGATGTCAAGAAACACTACGATTGTTGGCCTTTGATAAGTATGGCGGTGTTCTAACATTTGGCGGAGGGTGAAGATATGATCAATACATCCTCGACCAGAACGAAACCCAGCCTGCTCCTCGCGAGTCAATCTTTCTCGGGTTTTGAACAACCTACGAAGTATGACGGAAGCCAATAGCTTGGACGCAATCGGAAGTAGACTTATCCCCCGATAGTTGTTACAGGAACGACGTGAACCCTTTTTAAAGATAGGGACAACTATCGACTCATTCCATGACGTTGGTACACTCTCTAGTTCCCAAACCTTTGTAAACAACGTCGTCAATTCCTTAGTCAAAAAGTCACCACCATCTTTAAAAAGAGCCGGAGGTAAGTCATCTGGGCCAGGTGATTTGTAACGCTTCAAGAGTTGGAGTTCCTTGCGGACTTCCTCCTCGTTTGGTGGATCAGTCGTCACCGGCCATGGAGGGCAGGACAGTCTGACCGATGTTGCCGGAGCAGCAGGCCAGTTGAACTGCCCTTCGAAAAATTCTGCCCATCGTCCAAGACGTCGATGGATGTTAGTGATTGGCATCCCATCATCCTCGCAGATTGTTTCACTCACACCAGACTTCTTGCTGCCAGTGGCTCGGATGAGTTGGAAGAGCTTCCGGTAGTTACCAGATGCAGCTGCTGCTTCCAGCTCATTAGCACGCTTCGACCACCAGGCTTCTCGGTCCTTACGTAACATCCTTCGTTTATGGTCAAACTCACGGTCACCCGGAGTAGACCGACGGGCTTCAATGAGTTGTAAGGAACCAGAAGAAACCCAGTGCTTAAAGCGGGACGTTTCGCAAACCCACAACTGACTGTTCCCGCCATTTTCATGGCGTCATGCAATTGCAACCAATGCTCATCTATACTTTTCGGTGGAGTGGTAGCTAGCCTAGAGGCTAGCTCGGTTCGATACTTACTTGCAACAGAAGTTGCAACCAGCTTGCTAACATCAATCCGTTGATGGCGGTCACTTCGTTGTCCACTGAAAAGTAAGGTAAGATTGGCGCAGACCAAGGCATGGTCAGAGTCCAGATAGGTACTCCAAAAGGAGCGGCAGTCTTGTACACAACCACGCCAGCGGTAGCTGATCGCGATGTGATCAATCTGAGTCCAGGCTTGAGATGCAGAGGGAGGACGCCAGGTGGCACATCGGCGATGACTGTGCCGAAAGTTAGTGCTAGCCAGAAACAGGTTGTGGTCTGTGCAAAGTTGCAGTAGACGGTCCCCGTTATCTGACCTGCGACCAACGAGTCCCCATCGGCCACCTAAACGACTCTCTTCTGTGCCTAGACGCCCGACCTGAGCATTCAAGTCTCCGGCTAGTACTACAATATCTGTCGAACGCACTTTCTGGAGAAGAACAGATAACTGGTGGTAAAACTCATCCTTGATTGCATCCGGGCTGCAATCTGTCGGGGCATAGGCGGAGATGACGAAAAGACATCGTTTCTCACGCCGATTTCTTCTCACTTTGATGGAACTTTCTAATCTAACAGCACATAACCGACTGTTAATGGGGATCCAATCGACTAGTGCTGCCTCAGCTCTAGCGCTTAGTGCGACACCAACGCCAGCAAGACCAGACGAAGATGCCACAGGGTCCCCGGATAAGCGCACGTAAAACAAGCTTTTCGAAGCGACAGATGGAGATCGAATTTGTAGTACTTCGCCAGAGTCTTGAATACGGGTCTCGGATAGACAACAAACATCGATATTAAGACTTTCCAAAGACATAGCCAGCCCTATCTGTTGTCCGACCTGCATAAATGTGCGAACGTTGAAGGCAGCCAGTTTGAATGGTGCACGTGGTTTCAGAAAAACTGCTTCAGTCCTCGTATTCGGTGGTAACATACAATTTTCAACCGGACAGTGACTCGAGAACGTTTAGATACAGTCGAATTTCCACCAAAGACGAGCCGCTGTATAAGTATAAAAGAGGGTGAATAATGTGGAAAATAATAATAATAATAATGATAATAATAATAATAATAATGACAATAATAGTATAATAATAATAGTATTAATAATGACAATAATTGTAATGATAATAATTTGAATCAATTGATTGTTTTTCGAAGCGAGAAAAGTAAAGTCAACTAATCTTAAGTCTGATCATTTTTTTTCAAAGTTAAACGAATCAAAATTTTGACAACTATTAACGAAGAAATTTATATTGTCATTATGTAAAGAGATAACACAGGTCCATTTTCTGTTATATTTGCCAAAATCCATGGATAGATGTCAACAACTAAGACGATAACTGTCCAATCAAATCGATTCACAAGACTGGATTTCTTATAATATTATTTATACTACTTAAAGCAAACAAATTCTTTATGTGAATATACTGCTATACTGTGAACTATATATACTTATCCACAACCACGTAACAATGATTTTAACATGTGGCTGGATATCTTGCTTGTTTGGGGTCAAGCTTATCAATAGCATGACTGCAAGTCTGCTAAGATGAAAGTATACATTGAACTTCTTGAAGCAGGTAAACTGAATAGGAAGTGCCACCACACAAAATTAGGTTGATGATTTCTATTTACTCGTTTTAATTTTAATAA